TCTCTCTCTCTCTCTCTCTCTCTCTCTCTCTCTCTCTCTCTCTCTCTCTCTCTCTCTCTCTCTCTCTCTCTCTCTCTCTCTCTCTCTCTCTGAATATCTTGACAATCCGCCTGCTACTCGGATCTACTCGTACTACTATGCTGTGCGGCTATGGCCGCTTTCCTTCCACAGCGCAGCGCTGCCCAGCCAGGGCTCCAGCGCTTGCCAACTCGCAGTTAGCGCACAAGCACTCAGCAGCACTTCCACACTCCTCGCGAATGAGCAAGCAATCTGTCCAAAATGTGGCTGGCCAGTCCCTATATCGACTTGGGACTGAGCCTTGACTCGTCCCAGCCTCTGCTTCGCTTGGCTTGACTTGGATCCGGCACCGGCTGTCCGCGGCCTGTTTGCTTTCGGAATTCTGAGGCCCAGTACCTCCCTGAGTTCCCCTTGGTGTGCTGCTGCTTTTGGTCTATGGGACGTGACCTTTTGACTGTGGGATGTGACCCTTGCCTTTGGGATGTGACTCTTGACTGTAAAACGTGACTTTTGCCTGTGGGGTGTGACTTTTGACTGGGTACCGGTTGGACTTGGCCTCTGGGGTACCCGACGTAACCTTTCGGAATCCGGCTGACTCGGCCTCTTTGACTTCTGCATGGGTCCTGGGGACCATCTCACGCAGATGTGTACATGTCATGCATCATCTTCACACGCAGTGAYCAATAGTCTCAACCATAGACAAAGGTAGAGAAGAAGAGGACCGAGTTTCACAGCTTATATTATCAGAAATATGATTACAAAGTGTTTCAAGGTTCCCCTGAGTCCAGCGCTCATCAGCGCAACACAAATCTCTGTTCAACTCGTCAATATGCCTTCCAAGGCATCAGCGCTACCCCTGCAGATTGTCTCCCAGTCATCAATATGGTCACAACTCRTCAGCGCCACCTCTGCAGTTCGCAACCAACTCAGGTAAGTGTCTCCCATAGCCAAACCTCGAATGAACACTCTATCTCTCAGTCCCTTCCTCTGTCGATGCATACACATTCTCTACTCATGAGGATCTACTCTGAATACCACTCATAGCTACACACTAACCCTCTACTACTAATGCTAACTCGCTGGGCAGCTATGGCTGCGTCATATCCAKCGTACAGTCTTCTTCCTTCACTCAGCGCAGCTTCTACCTCCAGCGCTGSTCCTCCTGACYCGGCGCACAAGTGCACCAGCACTTCCACGCATTGCAGCCAGTGGAGATCTGGYGAGGAATGAGGCTGGCAGCTTTCTTTATAGTGCTGGCCACTCCTCGCTGGGTCTGCATTGGCTCAATTCAGCCTATCCTTTGTCCCAGACCCTGCATTGCATGTGTCCCAGTGTAGTCCCAATGAGGTYYGMCTGCTGCTGAGGCCTCTCGGCCTAGATTTGGACTTCAAAGTCTGGATCTGGACTGACCCCTTGACTTAGACCAGAACTGGGACTGTGCCTATTGACTTTACTTTCAGACAGGCACAACTTTACATGAACAGACACATTTACTGCCTGAACAGACACTCTCCTTTTGCACCAACAGGTACACTGTCTGCACGTACA